AGACCACACTTTTCTCGGGCCATTATCTCCGTAACCGTTCAACTTTGGACATAGGTGTTTTGGGTTATATCGGCATACTTTAACATAAGGAACACCCTCCCGAAGTTTGGCACATTCCTCCTGGGACACCCTGTATATACACACGCGCACGCACACACACACACACACACGCACACACACACACACACAAAACAGGATGCATTCCTTAAAGACACATTCTACTCTGTTGATGAAAACTTGTTGTCTAAAAATGAGTCATCCATTTAAAGGTTGTATAAATATCGTAAGTTGACATCATTGGTGTATGTATATATTGATGTATTTTTTAATAGACTCATGTGTAACCGCTGTGTTTTCTTGGGTGGAAACTTCAGTAGTACTGTACAGATATTTTTGTATTTGTATGACATATTCCACATCCTACAATCAGTTTGACTAACTTTTTATCCAGGGAATGCAATGCCATGTATTGCAATGCATTTTATGTTGCAGATGAGGGTAATGAAAACAAACCAAGGGCATTCCTGCAGGTTGGAAGTTGGATCTATCCATTAGTTCCCGGTGTATCTCCTTGTTATCGAACAGATCGTAATGTATTCATCCTGCCTGATGTTCATTCTACTATAGAAGGTATATAATTTTTGGTTACTGCAGTAGAGTCAGTCCTCACTTCCAAATTACATGTTGTTACAACCCAGAAGACCATAATCTGTAACATATTTATAATTGCATGAGTAGGATTGATTCCTAGAAGCATCTACACTAGTGGTTCCCAATCTTTTGGACATGATAGCCACTTGTAGTCATGTGTGTGTGTGGGGAAGAGTGGAAGGTACGCATAAAATCATTCAGTATGATTTTGATGCTTTATTTCTTTCTTATCAATTTAAAGTTTACCTTACATTCCTCAAGGGATAGAATTTACAAACCACTATTTGTCACTGCAGTGTCAGTTATGTTGACACTTAATTCAACGTAAAAGTACAATACATGTGCACGTGCAGAAGCGCACACATGGCCCAGTATGTGTATGTCTTATTTTCCATTTAAAAGGAAAGAAAATGACTTTTTGTAGGGGCCTGCAGGAAAATGTGACCTAACGATGCATCTTCTTGTTCGCATCTACCATTGCCGCTCTTCAAGGGGATAAGGAAACCTTCAGAACAGTATTTCCCTTTTCAATGTATGTGATTCGCCCTCTGTGATTTTTTTAACACAAATGTCACATATCAAAGAGTAGCAGTACGTTTAATAGTAGTATGAATTATAGCTTCCATTCTTCATTCAGTTTGCATATACACTCAACTCTCGATTATCCGTGGGCAGATTAACCGCTGCTACCGGGGCTTTTTTGAGGCTTATGTGATGTTTAATATTCATTCACTTTTGTTTCACATTGTGAGTTGTAACACTATTTTCGCACTAGTGTGAACCGAGCTCTGCATTTTTTGGTCCTGTTATGCTAACACAATGTTCTAGGGTAGGGGTGAAAGAATGCAAGAATTTGTGGAAAGTTTCAAGGACAGATACACTGCCCCAGTTAGCCTCTTTTTATCGATCTTCAAGTGTGTTAGCAAAATGTCAGGGTGTAAAAGGAAGCGTGTTGTGTTAAGTATTCAACAGAAACTCGCGTGAGCCAGGCTTCGAAATGTTAAGCAGTGACGAAATCGTAAGTTCAGTCGGGGTGCAGCCAGAAGAGCGGGAAGAAAGTGAGAATGAGGAAGAGGTGGACAGTGCTGCTTGTAAGAAAATTTCACATGGTGCTGCTCTTAATCATTTGGAATCCTTATTAGACTATCTCGAAAGTGAATAGAACAGTTTATTAAGTGACAAGCTAATATTATGTAGGCTTCATACGGATATCCGTAAAAAGGAAAATGCCGCGAAAAAGCAACAACAATATTAATTTTTTTAAGTGTTAAGTGTGAATATTCATAAAAAGTGTTGGATGTTGTTGAACACTGTGATTGAAATAACTAATTCATACTTTAGTGTATGTAAAAAAAAGTATTAAATAGGCCATGAGATGACATAAAAATGAGGTTCAGTAAATTTAAATACAGGTAGGCCTATAGTATTATGAAGGTACAGTATTACAGTACTACTTTTAATAAAATAATAACAACCGGGTTTTCAATTAATCGTGATTTCCATCCCCACCATTATCCCGGATAATCGAGAGTTGAGTGTAACTGTAAAGAAGTTTTTATTTTATTTTATCTTTGTTTTTCTTTTGAGGGTCAGCAGTGGGTTTAATTTTTCCCGAAGAAGCTGGTGATTCAGTGTATGAGTTGTTAGAGGATATTTTGCAAGGAATTGTGACAAGAGGTACAGGAAAAGTGAAACGTTCTGCACAACAAGAGGATATAGGCTACCGTTCCTCTATTGCTCGTGGGATTGTAACAGGTAACATTGAAGCTGATCATAATAGATTGATAATTCATAATATTTTTTGAAATTCATTCATTTTCTTAGTTTCTCTAGGCAGATGGCAGAATAGTCCCGGAAATTGGGTCACAACTGCTACCTTCCATATCCATTTCCATTTAAGTATTCACTGATCATTCTTTCATTCAGCACTGTATAATCTGAGTTATTGGCATTTTAAGGGCGGAAAAATTCAGGGAACAAGTCCTCCGGGAGGGACTTTAAGCCATGGGTCCCATGTCGTAGCTTTACGGCACGTAAAAGAACCTCATATCTCCAAAAGAGGTCACTGACCCAAATTAACGGACGTTTCCCGCCCAACAGCAGTCTCTAATACCTCTGGTAGATGGGGGAAGCATTATAGATACCTCTCAGCTAGTAGAGCCGGTCTCGCTGGCTGGGCGGGACTGATGGTAAGCACCAGTACCGGTAGGATATAGAGACTGGTAGAAATCATAGAGGGAAGCACAATGGACCAATACAGGTCTCAGTGCATGGGGAAACCCACCCTCTCCAATAACTAACTAACTAACTTATTGGCATCATCCTTGCATAGGTCATAAAGAAGTAAACTGTGGTAACAGAACCCAGGAATTCAAACACAGATACCTGACTCCAGCATTTGGTATGATCCTGAGTCAGTTCAGTTTAAAAATATATTTAGTCTGTTTTTTATTGAATGAAGAAAGATGATCCTTGTTCTATCATTTCAGTGGTCTTTCATAATTTCTTTTCCATTTTAATATGTATGTTAAATTCTGATGTCTTATCACTTCAGAGCTCATCCTGTCACCGTGTTCTTTACAGTTTCTTCTGTAGATATTTGATTATATGTGGTTTGAGAATGCTGTCAGCAGCATTGAATGATGGGATCTTAGTGAATAATGAACTGGAGAGGATGTTGAAGGAAGTTGTTAGGAAATTATGGTCAATCCTGCGTCTGCCTGAAGAAACTGAGGAAACCCACAAAAGCCTCAGTCATGACAGTCAAACTGAGAACCTTTCAAATACAAGTCAGAAGCATTACCACTTGAGCTAGCTTACTTAGTCTCTTTTATATTGTTGTAAAGAGAAATTTACGCCTATGATCTCATCATATGTGACACAAAGTGGCCAGTTTTGATGAAACTTGGACTTCTTTTATAACACTGTCCCATTTTACAAATCCTTATTTTCAGTCCTCTCTGTTGCTAGTTGGATATAACTACAATCTTTTTTTGCACATAATTTATTTACATCCAAAAACTGTTACACAAGTACAATTAGACAAATCAGTTTAAGCCATCTAAAACACTACAAGTCAACAGCTCTTAAAAATGTACAAAATGATACACAAGACTACGAACAATACATAGGATCATTGTCCCCCTGCTGAAGCTAGCAACCCAGGATGACATCCCCCAACAATCCAATATAAAGCAACACATATACTTTTACCATCTATATACAGCCACACCACATCATGCTAATTATGCCTATTTTGCAATGAACAGTGTTGCATATTCTGCACATTAGTTCAGAAGGATTTCACAGTTGATAGGTACTTAATTTCTGCTGCTTGAATTAAATTCCAGTCTGTCATCCATGTTCTACTACCACAGTCAATAATTTCGTGGACTGGCTGCGAAGCATCATTGCAGTGCACTACAGTGGATAGGTTGAGGCACGATATGATGCCCTTGTAGTTCATCTCGTCACAGCAAGAGGCAGTTGTGTGCAAATAGTGTAAGCAGAATTGTGGCCTCTGTTGTATACTGCAGTTAAATATGAGTGGCAAAAATTGAAAATGTGGCAATTTGGACAGCGGACAAACATCAAATTCTGACAGAAACTTGGCAAATCCCCTAGCCAAACATTTGGCATAGGAAGAATTGGCTGTTACTACACGACAGCGCTCCTGCACATCGCTCTGTTCTTGTCCAAGAGGGAATGGCAAGGCAACAGGTCACCATTTTTCCACAGCCTCCATACTCGCCTGATCTCACACCGTGCACTTTCTTTCTCTTTCACTGCTTGAAAGCAAAGCTACGTGGTCGTAGATTTCAGTTGTCCAAGAAGGTCATCAGTGCCACAAGAGACGCTGTATGGAATTTACTGCCAATATGTTTCAGCTATGTTTTCAGCAGCTGTATCAACATTAGCAGACTTGCATAGCGGCCAATAGCAACTACAGTGCTACTATAAATGATTCATTCGTTTTTAAAACGCTACATTTTCCAAAGTATTGCACGTACAAATATGATTGATATATAAAAAAAGCCGTAAACTCACCAAGTTTGTATTTCATGCACCAGTTGGCAGCACGAATTCAGTGCCTTTACAAAATGGCGACAAAGCAAGAAAAGAGTTTTTGTTTGTTGGAATATGCGAGATGTTCGTCTGTTATAGCAGTGCAGCGCGCATTCAAAAGAGAGTACGGAAAAGAACCACCATGTAAACAAAGCATATTGCAGTGGTATCGGCAATGTTCGCCGCTACCTAAACAATGAACTTCAGCATCGTTGGATTGGGCATGTTGGTGAGGATGATGTAGCTCCTTTCACTTGGCCCCTGATCTAACGCCTTGTGACTTCTTCCTTTGGGGGTACATTAAGGATCGTCTTTACGAACCCCCTCTAGTAGGGCTGAGGGAACACATCGATGCTTCAGTGATGAACATTGACAGGATGATGCTACAAAATGCGTGGAACGAGCTTGACTACCGCCTGGACGTGTGTCGTGTGACCCAAGAGCACAAATAGAACATTTATAGAGTGTGAAGAAAACTTGGTGAGTTTACGGTTCTTTTTTTTATGGTTCTTTATATATCAATCATATTTGTATGTGTAATGCTTTGGAAAATATAGCGTTTTAAAAAACGAATGAATCATTTATAGTAGCCCTGTATTTTGAGGGCCAGTGTGGATCAGTGCAAGTGTATGTGAATACCTTGTAATATGATGCGATAAAACTACAGTCCACGAAATTAATGACTGTACCACGTATTACCATTTAAAAGCACTAGGGCTTCCGTAACCACATAAATTTTTAAATTTTGTCTCTTAAGAAGTGCATGTGAGAAATACGTTGGACTCCTGATCCTCAGGGGCTATGTTTAGAAAATTGATTGGTGTGTTCAATGTCAAGAAATAAACTTCATGTGAAATTGCTTTTTTAAAAAGGAACAAGTACAAATGGAGTTTTATTTCACACATGAATATATACTTGGAAACCTGAGAAGGCTTCCTTTGTTTGGTTTTTCTTTTTAATATGGGAAAATGTCACAGGAATTTCTCAGAAGCCATGCACATTTCTACCAATAGTGTTCAGGTAAACTACACTGGTAAGTTTGTGTGTCGTTTTATACCTCCCAATTCACAGATTAGTTACAGATTCCATTTATCCAGAATTTCCAATTTTATGTGGAAAGTCATTTCTCATCCACTGTGGACAATTGGGAATTGTCTGCTGTACTTTGCTTCAGATATGATATTTTGTAAAACTTTTGTGAAACTGTGAAGGTATTGTACTGGCAGCTAAAATTAAGAGGAAAAGTGTACTAACACCTTACCAGTTGAACAGGAGGTTTTGGGAATAACTGATAAATGCTTGCGTTTGAATACAAAGGCAGAGTTAATGTTTAGTAACTTAGTGATCTTCTGAATTTTGGAATTACTGGGTTCTTGGACTTTATCCATCATCTGGTACTCTAGAAAATAGAGAACACCACAGATGACTGAATGATGGACAAAGTTCAAGATTCCAGTAATTTCAAGTGTCATGCACCATCATCAGGACCCTTTAAAATGTATTTCTGAATTTTGGTTCTTGAAAAGCTACCTCTTGGAATACACAAATGGATATGGGAGAATAATGTTAAAATGGATTTTCACGAAATGAATTTTGGTTATGTAGTTTGGATTAAAATGGTAAAGGGTCGGATCCAGTTATGGGCGTATTTGTGTTTATAGTGTTGAATGTTTGATTTATAATAACATGGATATTCTCCTTTAGTCACATAATGAATAATGCATAAAATTAAATTGAAAAATAAAATTTATTACTCATACTCAGTTTTGTGATTCCTAAGCTAGGATTTATTATTTTTATCTTCCCAGGAGCACATTACATTTCACATGGACTCATAAGAAGTGCAGAAAAAGCAGGTGAACTGATGAACTATGGAACTCCTAAATTAATCCAAAAGATAGCCCCTGAACCTGTTCCTCAGCCTGTGAATCCTAAGGTGAGCCGAGGTCTCCAGGTTGCCAAAGATGTTACGGGAACTGCTGTGCAGATCACAGGTTATATGGGTAAGAATCAAAGTTTCTTTATATTCAAGTGTTAGATTTTAGGAATGAAATATGTTTAACGTGATCATAATCCATTTCTTTCACACTTGACAGCATAGTGCAGTTCAAATCCTGAATACTTTTGCTCAATTTACGCAGGAGAAATCTTTAATCATATGCAGTGAAAGTGAGATTTAGTGATTCTTCAATTAATGAATATTTGTCTTGCTCCCAGCCAAGGTCCAACACATACAGTGTATTACTTTCCAGTATTTAGCAAGTAAAATATCTGGGTTCATTGTAAGAAGTTTTTGACCTTCCAGAACTCATACCTCAGTTTAGTAAAACTGAGGTTGAAACAGCAATCAGCATTAAGATTTTCTCCTTGCCAGAAATTATTACCACATAACCATAATCTATGGAAAGTGATATTGAGTACTGAACATTAATCGAAACAACACCACATACGGCATCATATTTACTTGGATTTTTATTGTTCTTTCGGTGTGTATTTCATGTCATTATTTTTAAAATTAATTTGATATTATTATATGAGGGGCAGTCAAATGAAAACAGGTCAGAAGCCAAAACATATTAAAGAAGAGTTCTTACCTCAAAAGTAATCTCCAGAACTGTTAATACGTTTATCCCATCCTTGAAAAAGCTTTTGGGCTGTCTACGGAACCACATCTTTACTCAGCCACACACGTCTTCGTCCGATGCAAATCGATGTCCACGAGTGTCTCTCTTCAGTCTCCAAAAATGTGAAAATCACATGGGGAGGGATCTGGTCTGTAGGGGGTGATGTTGAAGCCCTTACCAACCAAATCTCTGTAGTGTATTCCTCACAGAGTTGGCAATGTAGGGGCGCGCATTATCATGAAGAAGGGTAATGCCGTTCGATAACATTCCAGGGCGTTTTGACTTTACGGCACGTCTCAGTTTCTGCAAAGTGTCTTTATAGCGCTGTGCAAAGATTGTGGCCTCATGCTCAAGAAATTCGACAAGCAGAGAGCCCTTACAGTCAAAGAAGAACTTCATCATCACTTTACTGGAACTTGTGTGTACGGCTTTGGATTTCTTCGGTGCGGGAGAATTCAAGTGTTTGCACTGTTGGCTCTGCCGTTTGCTCTCAGGATAAAAATGGTGGCACCAAGTTTCGTCCCCAGTGGCAATACGGGACAGAAAAGCACACTCTTCCTCATGGTATCATTGCAAGTGACCCAGTGATGCAGCCATTCTCCAAGTGTTCTGTTCCTCTGTGAGTTGCTGTGGAGCTGACTGCGCACAAAATTTGCAGTACAGCAGGTGTTTTGTCACAATGGCGTGTAAGGAACCATGACTTACCGTATTTACGCATGTATAGGCCGCACATTTTTTGCCAAAAATTCAAGAGGAAGACTGGGGTGCGGCTTATATTCGAAATCACACTTCATTTAAAAAAAATTATATTCATAATTAGTAATACAGGGTGTAATACTCCTGAAATAATATTCCAAGAAAATTATTTTTTCTATAATTTCTCTCTGAAAATTGTGCTGCGGCCTATACACGCACGCGGCCTATACATGCGTAAATACGGTATTCCCATCAAATGACTAATTTCTTCCACAGTGATCTGTCCGTTTGCCCGGATATGACCATCCAACGCAGCACTAACATCAGGAGTGATGACACAATGAGCCTCTCCTGGGCAAGCATCATCTTGCAGTGACACACGTCCCTCTTGGAATCTCTTATGCCATGCCAGCACACACGAACGTGACATGCTGTGTTCGCCGTAAACAACAGACATGCAATGATGAATTTCTCGTCCTACTCCTTCAGCAGTCAAAAAGCGCACTACACTTTGCTGTTCTTCTTTACCCTCCTCCATTACTGATGTTGGACACCACACGTAGTAATAACCTTACTTCCAGCACAATAAACGAACGACTAGTGTGCATGGGCATGTCACTGTGCTTTCCCGAGTCCCCACCAGATGTTCATATCGTAATCAAATTCCAGTGTTACCAACTTCCACACCTGTGAGTTATGCATGGTGACCTGTTTTCATTTAACTGCCCCTTATATAATTGTATATATTTATGTACAATCAGCTCCCATCTTTCTGTGTTTCATTTCTTATCATTGATTTAGAAATCCATTTGATATTAGCAGTTAAGTAATTGTATTTATTTTTGGAGAGTTTCCATAACTGTGTATATAAAGAAACTATTTTGTTGTAATTATATACACTGTGTCTTATAAAATGATGAACAGTTTTGTTATGTAATTTTGCATAATCCCCATGTAGTGCAACCTTGATTTAGTGTAAGAAAAGCTGTTCCCCCAGGAGATTCATTAAATAGGAATTTCACTGTATGTTAACAGGCTTTACTCCTAATATTTCCAGTCTCAGGAAACGGGAAAAGCTCTCCTGAAGATAGCAGCAGTATGTTGGTAACTACCAACCAGTGTAATAACCCTGACAGTCACACTCCAGATCTAAAGATCTTAATCATCTGTCTTTTCATTTTCAAGATTCCAGCATCAGTCCAGTTAGCCAGGTGTATACAGCAGAAATTCATACCCCGTCACCAGTGCCGTTTCATGAAATTAGATGGAGTTTTACCCCTTCTCCCCCTTTATATCTTTGTGGGTTGGTACAGCGTCTAATCAGAACTACTGTATTAACTCAGATGCCTAAGAAAGAATGCAATTCTTATCTTCACAGGAGTATGGTCAGTAGGCAAAGCCTCTGTTATTGGCTTGAATACCACCCTGATTTTGGATGTACTTCATGTGTGAGACAAAGATTATTGTTTACAGCCTCAAAAATTGGAAGTTGTACTATGGCTCTTGGACGATATCTTGCTCCTCACATCCAGAGACAAGGTACTAAACTGTTGTCCTCCACATGCAACTTAACAGAACTGGAAGCTTCTAAAAAAATGGATGGAGTGCTAGAAGTGGCAGCAGGAGCCGTTGGAGGGTTTGGTACAGTGTATGATGGTTTGGAAAAGTCTGCAGGAATTCTTGCAAGCAGTTTGGCCAACAACACTGTAAAGATTGTGGAACATAAGTAAGTATTGTTCATTTCTTTCTCGTGATACAGAGGTGATCTGTGTGTCCACGTCTGTTATCTTGACTGAGGTGCCAGCAGCATCATGGTTCCTGTAGCCGTCCGCCGACTTCCAGCTGCCACGACTCTTGCTCGAGCTTGAGTTCTTAATCACAGGATACGGGTGGTTCGGAGATGGGAGTATAACACACTTTGAGGTTTATGAATCCGGGGGCTCCAGAACACACCGTGGATTGCAGTTTTAGTTCAAAGTTTCATTAATGATCAATATTTACATTATTCTCCAAGCTAGCCACTCTGTCAGCTGACTCGCTACCACTACTGTAAAACACTTCTCTGTTCTCCGTCTATCTTTCAACAACTGTCCTTCTCCGCTCCCTATAACTGACTTTTTTTCTCTTTACATGTCCTGCAGTTGGCATAAAAATACAAGAAAAAAATAGAAACATAAAAAGAGAAAGCCAAGGGTTGAGCCCAGCATCTGCCCTACATACGTATTTTTTGAGAAGCCCATAAACTTTTTTAGGTCTTCAAGGCACACGAGCAGGGAACCCCAGACCCTCTTGGCCGGTCTCGCACAAGGTCAGTTTAAGGGGTATGATACCAGGAGCAAACAGGCGATGTTAGGGACAATAGTGAAACCCTAAGCCTAAGGAGGACAGTAGCTGAATTACAACTAGACGGGTCCTGGGATGGTATCTCACCGGAGGAGCATCTCTCATGGTGTTAAACAATGCATCAGTTGTTCATGCCCTTAATTAAATAACATTGGAGAGGGACGTACGGTTACATTCCTTTCCTCTCACATTGTGATAGTGCCTTGAAAGAATCTATGACTACATGCACTCACATAATTTGCACTTAATTATACAGCATTATCCTTTCAAGAACTGAGATAGCTGTCAGTAAAATAGCAAGAGGCTGGATAGCTGAGGTAATATATTTTCTTGAATACCTTGCTGTCATGTATAAGCAACGAACTTCATGTGAATACATTTATGTATTAAGGTATACATGTCAGTGCCTTGAAATTGGTGCCAAGATGGCTCAATCAGGATAGTGATGTGTATGGGCTTTACAGTCAGGGTTCACTTCCCAGCAGGAGCAAGAGGTTTTTCTCTACTCCACAGCACGCAGATCAGCTCTAGGACCCCACCCAGCCTTGTATCCGGTTGCTACCAGAGGCTCTTCCCTTGCAAGTAAAGGAGCCAGATTGTGAAGCTGATCAGTCACCTCTGTGTAGTGCTGAGGCCCAAAAATGGTGAAGCTATACCTCCACATAAGCACAAGGACAACTTTACCATTTGTTTTTTTCTCTCTCTCTTTCTACTTGAGCCCTTTATTTTCAAGGATCTAATGTCCAGCTGTTGGGAAACTTGTTTGTTTTCAGATATAGTCATATTTTGCAGAATACCTTAATATTCATTCTCAGCTTGCCTTGGAATCCATGTCCTTTTGCCAGTGTGGATACTTTTAACTGACATTTCAGTTGATACCACGCATCCTGACTGTAGCTTCTCATGAATTTGCAAACCTTTCCTGTCGTTTCAGGAACTAGCATCATACTTTCTACCAGTAGTGCAATCTCCAGTTTCTTATATATCCCTTGAATTATATTTATGAGTAGTTTGTCACTATCCATGACAGGGGGGCACTATGCTACAAGCCGGAAGGTTGTGGGTTCCAGTCCCGATGAGGTCACTGAATTTTTTCAGTTGACCCAATCTTTCCAGCTGCACTATGGCCCTGGGGTCATCTCAGCCTCTATGAGTGCCAGGAATATTCTAGGAAAGTTCTTGGGGGTAAAGGGTGGCTGGCACATAGGGCTGACAACCTTGCCACCATCTATGAGCTGATTGTCTAGAAAATTTGGGAACCTCAACTACTCACAACCCTATGGGCCTCGACGGCCTGTTACAGGGATACTTTTACATACAGGATATGGTGCTTAGACATGGCCACAAATTATTACCATTTATTTTAATTGTTTTGTTATCTGTTTCAACTTTACAATATGGAACAGTTTAGGAGTAATGCAACTTCTGAGTTGACCTGCTCAGTTTATATGTACATACATTTTTTTTAATGCTAGTGGGGTGGGACTAAGTCCCTTGTACTGTGGTCACTTGTGGCCTATTGTACTAGCCCTAGATGATAGGTGAGGGTGATTGTGGAGCAGTTGGTGGAATGAAGATTGGCAGGGGAAACCGAAGTACTCGGAGAATACCTGCCCCAGCGCCACATTGTCCACCACAAATCCCACTTGACCAGACCCAGGATTGAACCTGGGCTGCCACGGTGGGAAGCCAGAGACTAACCGCTTGAGCTATGGTGCTATGTACATACATATTTGAATAAATATTCCAGTTTAATTGATATTAGATTAGCAAAATCTGATGTGTGTAATGTGTATCGTCATGAAGTTTGGTCAATATTGAACATCCAAAATCATGTGTCTTTTACTTTCAGGTATGGCCAACCTGTAGGCGAAGCAACTGGTAATACTTTATATGCGGTGGATAATGTTGTTATAGCAGGAAATAATGTAAGGCACCTTACCCCGAAAGGAATTGCCAAAGTCACAGCAAAATCGACTGGCAAAGCTGTTATTGAGGATTACAGAAAGTCTTTACAAAACCACAGTCATACTCATGGTGCTGGCCCATCATCTAAAAGTGATTAAAATATCCCAAATGGTGTTCCTCCCTGTATACTGTATGAATGTTCATGACTGAAATATGCTGTGCTATATATGAGACTGAAGAAATACATGCTATTAATAAACAATTTGTTCCCCCCCGCCCCATTAATGAACAAATGTAGCTCCAGTAGTTAGCGAGTATCCAGCTTCCCAATTGATGGCCTTTGTCAGATCTTCTTGCTTCCTAATGTCATTCCTGCAACGCAGAGCCTGAGAAAGTGCTCATGAACCATATGAATTCCTACCTACATCATCTATATGGATTAGGTCAATCCTTGCACTGTTTCGTCATGTTAAAGAATACATGGATCCTACCATCTCAATAATTGACATCCCCCATCCCAACTGAGTAGGTATTACCTGAAGATGGAGACAGAATCCCATCTCTGAAACATGTTGTTAAATAGAAACAGGACGGTATTTTAGACAAAATTAAGGTGATGGATAATATCCAGAAACATAATATTTGTATTAGTCCTCTTAGTTTATCAGAGTGGGGCAAGGAAAAATGATTTTTTGAAATGAAATTATTTTGAACAAGTTGAAGATAGGGTATTACTAAAGTATTGCTTGTTAAACATATATGTTGATTATGAGGCATTGACAACTTTTTTTTTAAAATGTGCAACTTCCTTTATGATACCATATTGGAGTATGTAAAGCTGTCCATCACCTGAGTAATGCAGCACATCAAAGAAAATGGTGTCACTTTTATGTCAGATTTGGGCTTGAGCTGTTGGTTGGAGTGAATACAGGTTGAAAGCACCTGTTTGAGGTAATCCCATGTGAAGCCTGGAATTCTTACCAGTTGAGGAAAGGTTCTAAAACCTAGGTGGTTCAGTCATGAAACGAGTTATGTAATACTTTGATGCTGTTTCTGACTGTGTGGGTCATGGTTCTGCCCTGAAACCATATGCAATGCAGTTCTTGCTGATTATTTTCCAGAGTGAGAAATGTTCCTGCCTTTATTCTGTACCATTTGGAGTTTACTGTTAAAATAATGTCTTGACGACTCCAAAAGATACAGCACTGCACCAGACAACTTCAGAACCTTGTAGTGGTCTGTCACCGAGCTGTCATGGATTTGGATCAAACCATGACCTGAAATTTTGCTTGTTTCCAAAGATACGTACATAAGTGAAAATTCAACATTAAAAGTTCATGTACAAATTTGTCATGAGGTTTATGGAATTGCAACAAAACCTTATCCTTGCTTCGTTGTCATAGGTGCTCAGTTCTTGTCAGCTTAGTTTGTACATGGAATTTAAAAATCCATGTGAAGAATTCTGTGGAATTTCCCATAAACATATGAGGAATATGGGGGTGTTGTCTTGAAGATTGAAGCAGAATTTGCCAGATATCAGTTCATACCTGATTAACATTTTCAGGAGATGGAACTATTGTTTTTGGACTTGAATCTATATCTTCCAACAAAGTTCCGTCTGCTGAACATTATAATCTTTGCATCATTGGAAATAGTGGAATCAGCCTTATGGGCAGTCAAAGTCAAGTGGATTCTTTATTATCAGCGAGAGGGGGTTAGCATAACTTGAAGCATTTTATGCAAGTAAATTATACAGGAGAGTGACCACTTTAGCAATGACACCTACATATACAATGTTCAAATGAGAGTGAAAATGAATTTATGAATTCATCACAGTGAACAATTACTTGAAGTATGGAGAATGTATACTGGTATTTTTCCATGGAACTAATGTATACATTATGGTTATTATTTGCATCTGGAGAATGTACTGTGTGACTAAGTTCTGAAATTATGTGGTGATAGTGAGGGAACAAAAATAGAGGTAGCCTACACTGCTGGTAGAAAGAATGCAAGAAGCTACCATCTGCTGTCAGTACTCTCAGACAGTGTCTATATTGACTAACAAATTTTCATAACAAGAAGAATTACTTGAAATCTGAAATTTTCATTTGTAGACTCCAGTGTTAATATCTCAGGTTTGAGAAGGGATGGATCTAGTGAAGTTATGTAGTGCCAGCACTGTAAGGCGATGCCATTTGAGTGTGGGAGAGAGGGAGAGAGATTTTGTCTGCAGCATTCACATTACTGTACTTTCTGGGGGGGAAAAAATAGCTTATGTCACTTCATGTCCATTTGTAAAGTGGGTTTACCATTCTGATTTTTTATTCGTGTAATAAGTTAACTGATCCAAGGTAAATGATATGAACCATCTTTAAAAAGTTAACTATGCATTAGATGATCACCAGTGAGTTTGTGTGTTGTAGGCCGGATTTTTTTATGTGCAAGATATACTGGTTTATTTTTCCCAGGGTAGATTAAAGTATCTGTAAATTTTAATGGGAAAGCTCTTTAAGAAGATTGGGTTCATGGGTTTACTGTGATAAAATAACGTGATAATCTGTTAAAAGTTGTTTGAAGTTTAAGTATTAGTTTTTAGTTCAGATTATCTGAAAGTAGGTTTTAAGAAATTTTATAAACAATATTTGCATGCCATGTCATGAGATGTGGGAAGGTTTATGTATGTACCTCTAAGAATTATCTTTCTCATTAATATGGAGTATTCTTATTGTTTGTATCCAGTGTGTTTATCATTTTAGTATTTAACTATACCATCCTGTTAAGTGACCATAAAGTAATATCAAATATTGATGTGATAAAGTTAATATGCACCATATGTTAACATTTTTGCCATGTTTTATACTCAGATGATTCTATGTCATAAGCAACAATGACACAGAGATTCCTGGCTGCTGGGATGTGATGCCTTGTAGTTGAGCAAAAGTTTTGCAGCATTTTGAAAGAATGTATTGCCTTCATCTTCTCCCCTGAAGACTGTGGCAGCACTTACTTACAGAAGATTGGTACACGTCTACAGACAACATGGCATCGCGTCCCAGAAGGCAGTAAATTTCATGAGAACCTCAGATCTCTCATAGCAAGCAAACAATTTTTCTCATGATTGTCATCATCATCATCATCATCATCCTATTCATTTTACATGAAGTGATTAATGTTTGTGTATTACTCGTACATTAGTTCATACAAGTTCGCAGTTTAATTTCAAATTACTCACTGGAATGTTATATATATATTGCATGTTATTTGGACAGTGTTCATCAAAATTGTGTAATGAGCCAACCAGAGAGTAATAATTCTCAATAATGTCAGTGAAACTTAACCCATGTGAATTCTAGTACAACAGACATTTACATAACAGGGTGTTATGCTTAATCAGGGATTGTACATCTCTGTACATAGTTCCTTGTTGCATAAAATGCATTTGATGCTGCTCCTGTACATAGTTATTGAAGACATGAACAGACCCAGGCCTATGGACCAGATACACACTTCAAGAAATCGTGAAGAATGTTGCCATTTTTCCCCTCCTCCGTTTCACTAATTTATACTTATTTCAGATTAACAAGTTTATGTACTGGTTAGGTGCTTCAGTTTGACCTTACAGAAAATTTGTCTGTCCACCATTGCATTTGAATATTCTTGAAGGCAATGTCATAATTCAGTTTATTATGTTACTAGAAAGTAATAACTCGAAAACTTTCATGAAGAGGAAATAATACTGTTGATATACTCTTGTGATATACAAATATAATGTACTTGTATTATGCGTACCTGTATAAGATTTTATTGTATTTTGAAATGGACTGGAGAGCTGGGATAACTCAGTCAATATAGTGATGTGCTATTTGCAGGATGACTGGGTTTTAATTCCTGGCATGGCCAGGAGATTTCTCTTCTCCACAGTATCCAAATTGGGTTTGGGGCCTACCCACCCATCGAGTGGGTACCAGGGATCTTTCCCCGGAGGTAAAGTGGCTGGGGTGTGAAGCTGGCCACTCACCTCTATCTAGTGCTGAGGTCAACAGTGGTGGAGCTGTATAGCTCCACTCCCCCATGTCTTCATGACGTGGTGCATAATTAAGCACAGAAACAACTTTACCTTTTACCTTTGCAGTGGACTAGGTTGTTAAGTACTGAACTAGCAATATCATAAGATATGCAATGAATGCGATTACTAATATTTTAACTTTTTTTGCCCTTGCACTTTTGCTAAATTAGTTTTCCCCCACACTAATAAATTGGAAGAGAGGCATACTGGTGGCAGAGATTTCCAGTGTATACTTAAATAGTTAATATGGTTACTATCTGCAAATGGGGCAGGGGATACATGTGTTGAATTTGTGCCTTGAAGTGAAGAAATTACCTTTCTTCTGCTGTATTTATTTTTTGATGGTAGTTACTATTAATATGTACAAACGTTTAACTCTGATAACAGATCTGATTCTTCTGGGAAAGTTGCTGTTAGATGGCAGTGTCTTTACTCCTGCTGAGTTTACCCACAGTTATGCTGTATATATCTGGCTATTAGGACAATCTTGGATGATTAATCTGAGGAAGTATGCTTTTTGTGGCTTGTATGCATACAGTTTTCAGGCAACTCTCCAGAAAACCATGAACCTCATGCCCCACACCTTACCATAATGGCTCATTTTATGCCAATAGAATAAGACTTGCACCTGTTAATTGTTTATTCTTTCCTCTGTTGTCAAATATTGGCACCAGAATTATTTCCAAGATGCATCACAATTATTATGCTCATTCAGGTATTGTTCTAGACGAAGGAGTAGAGACTGTTTGTGAATATATTCAACATGGTTGTTTGAGGCAGGCATTCCATGGACACAGCAGCTGATGGATCCCATCCACAAGGTGTCAATAAATGGTTTGTTAGCACTCTTTTGAGGGGCTGGACACATGAATGGATTTCATTTGAACGACTCTCATATTTCAAGTCTTACCGCTCATTGGTAGAATGGTAGCAAAGACATTGAACATCTGTATTCATGTGTGCATCATCCTTTGTAAGTAGCAGATGGCCTCATATGCTGTATTGAAAATTAATCGTATATTTGGATAACTACTGTGTATACTACACTGAATGATATCAGGGTCAAGATAATTATCATAATTCTGTGTTATTGTTAATTTTTGTTGGTTAACTTTATTTTTTACTGTTACATGTTGGATTAAAATGCAGGAATGATAGCCTTCAGTTTGGTTTAGATATTCTGAAAATAGTCATTACAAGTCATCATCTAGGTTGTGTTCTGTTGGTTCGTATATAATGGATGAATGAATTATTTGTGAGGACATATCACATTGTACTACACCATGTCTTCATAAGTTACCTTTATTTTATGAAAAAAATGTGTTTTGGATTTGCCTATGTGAAATCTGGTCACTTTGTTATTTCTCTACAAATTCAGTAACATTATGAGAGAATATGAACAGTTTTAGTATAACTTAGTCATTCCTACACGTTGGCCTCTGAAATGTTATTAGTTATAATAGAAGATTTATATCTAGAAAATATTTTTCTTGTGCTGTACTTTTTGTTATACACAACTGTTATTAAATAAGTATTGAAAATATCAGTTTTATACATCTATTTCTTGTTCCTCATGCATTGTATATGAGGGGCAGTCAAATGAAAACGGGTCAGAAGCCAAGACATATTGAAGAACATTTCTTACCTCAAAAGTAATCTCCAGAACTGTTAATACGTTTATCCTACTGGGACAAAAGACGGTCAATCCTATCCTTGAAAAAGCTTGTGGGCTGTCTACAGAACCACATCTTTATTCAGCCACACACGTCTTCGTCCGATGCAAACCGATGTCCACGAGTGTGTCTCTTCAGTCTCCAAAAATGTGAAAATCACATGGGGAGGGATCTGGTCTGTAGGGGGTGATGTTGAAGCCCTTACCAACCAAATCTCTGTAGTGTATTCCTCACAGAGTTGGCAATGTAGGGGCGCGCATTATCATGAAGAAGGATAATGCCGTTCGATAGCATTCCGGGGCGTTTTGACTTCATGGCACGTCTCAGTTTCTGCAAAGTGTCTTCATAGCGCTGTATACTGATTGTGGCTCCATGCTTGAGAAATTCGACAAGCAGAGGGCCCTCATCATCACTTTACCGGAACTTGTGTGTACGGCTTTGGATTTCTTCGGTGGGGGAGAATTCACGTGTTTGCACTGTTGGCTCTGCCGTTTGCTCTCAGGTTAAAAATGGTGGCACCAAGTTTCGTCGCCAGTGGCAATATGGAACAGAAAAGCACACTCTTCCTCATGGTATCGTTGCAAGTGACCCAGTGATGCAGCCATTCTCTGAGTCTTCTGTTCTTCCATGAGCTGATGTGGAACCCACTTCCCACTATAACCAGAAAGGCTGCTGTGACTGATAGATGGAACATTGTGTACTTGGCAATACATGTGTAATTGATATGACAACTGTTGTTATAGTGGTTTCTAAAAAGTGTTTGGTGCCTTTGAAGATGATCCAAATGGATCGAAACATGTAAGGCTAGTGAATCATCAAGTGAGAAAACTGAAATAGTCACAATGGACAGACTTGTCTTTTATAATTATAATTGTATATATAATGAGGTAACAGTGAAAATCTTAAATTCACCAAACATATTTCTACAGGATACTCTACTGTTAACACCTTTAATCAATGTTAGACATTATTTCTGTACTTTAAATACGGTTTCAGAGTCCTTAAGTCCCCACCCCAAAAAAATAATACCATATTTCAATATAGATTCACACTTAGTAAAATAAACATTTCTTAATACATGTAGGCTTAACTGAGTCACATAAGAATTTGATCAAATAAAGAGCATTTATGGGTAGGAATGTATCAGATATCGATTAATCGTATACTGTTCAATGTTTGATCTTCAGATTAGCTCATGACCCCTTTAACAATGGACCACAAAGACTTAAATAGGATCACTCTTAATGTCCAGATACTTTTGTTAATGACAAGTGCTCAAAGTTAAATTGGCCAGGTTTGTTCCATGGACTTCGTTCAAACCTTGTTTCAGTGTTCAGTTCAGTAATTAATGAATGTAACCCACTACCAGTTTTTATCTTTTGGTAAACCATGTGAAAGTTTCTGGTAAATCTGTACCAATTGATATCTGCTTAGTTACTACCTTTGAATATTCAGGCAATATTTAGGTATTACATAAAAACCATAACATATTCCACATCTCTTCGATTCAAAGACACGACCAAATGTAAGATGTGTTATTTTCAGGAAAAGAGATTCTATCAGTGCAAGACACGCCCTTGATTTTAAGATCCAAAATTAGCATAGGTGTAGCAATGAACACTGAGCAATCTCTCTTCATAACAGAGTATTAGCTAATATTAAAAGTACTTGGCATTTTCAGCCTCTAAGCCCACATAAGGTGCTTTATGCAGTTACATGTAATGACATGGAAATACAGGGAAGTACTTGCCTACAGGCTCGATGACAGAGGGTTTAGAGTATGAGTGCGGTAGGGTCAGAATTTTTTCTTCTTCATATTGTCCAAACCGGTTCTGGGGCCCACCCAGCCTCATATCCAATGGGTACCAGGGGCTCATTCCTCAAGGGTAATGTAGCAGGGATGTGAAGCTGACCACTCGCCTCCAGCTAGTGCTGAGGTCAAGAAAACATGGATCTATACATCCACCAGCCATACATGTTCATAGTGTAGTGCTTAATTAGTTAAGCACAGAGACAACTTTACATTTTTTTTATCTCTGATTTTATAGTCAATAGAGTATGTCCTATCATTGATTTTATAATATTTTCTTGTTTTAGACTTTGTCTCTTTAGTGTTGGCTTATATTTTGAGAGTACTCTGATTTTATGGTCTCTGGCCGTTAAATAAAGCATGTCCATATGTTTAAGGCCTTGTGTGAGAAGCTCTATAATGTTTGTCTTAACTCCTGCTGATATTTTATGTATCCTGTCTTGTGCTGGTTCCAGTGTCCAGAGATGAGGACTAGCCCTATCAATGGGGCTGAAGTGAGTAGGCTTACCTGAGGGTGGGGAGACAGTGCAATGTCTGAAACGTTTTTAAATAAAAAACAGGACGATGGATAATGTCAAGCCAATAATTTTATTAATATACATCCTCACAAACTTTTAGACCTTATCCAAAATATTTAGACAGAGCATTTGAAGGCTTAATATATTTTAGTCTAACCATGGTAGGCTTTTTGATAAGACCAACAGGCATGTTAGAATTACTACAATATGTTAAAACACGTTGCTCTGTAGTACATGTAACAAATATGTTGCTATGGCAACTTGCTTGAAAACATAAACATCTTCAGAGCGCATTCTTGTGGGTTGCAACATCATGCAAATCTTGCATGTGGATACCAACATTTCATAAGAACATTCTGCCTCCATCTTCAGGTTCAAAAATTAAGCCAAGCAAGGAACAAGCAGAGGCTGTTCCAAAATATTAGATTTATACCAAACTACATAGCCTTACATCCCAGACGATAGTAAGCTTCATTACCACTGTGAGAATCTGATACATGACATGGATAATTTTGATGTTTATAAAGGTTACCTGGCACTGTGTCTGTGATAGTTATATTGAGGAGGTTACAACAGACAGAACATGTTGCATCATTAGACAAGACAAGGTCAAATAAAATTCTTCGGTAAAACATTTTCTCAGAAGTCATGTTTAAGACGGAGGTCGGAGGATACGCGTACACAGAGGTTCGTGGAATAATAGTGTACCTTCTTACCGAGCGCGCTCTCGGCTGTGGCATGGTCACGTTTGAGGCACTCGACTTGAATAGGAATATAGATGGCAACATTAATGCATTCGTGACGTCACGGAGGTTAAATGGTCAGCCATTATCTTGTACGATCATGTAATATTAGATTGTCGAAAAGTCGAAAATAATAAGTCGAATTTTGAATGATATTGTGATCATTGTGACCGATTGTGACGTTGTGACACGTGGTTCGTGTCCCAAGGCCTTCAGATTCGGACTTAGTGCAGTATAGAACGGTTCAGAATCTGCAGAATATTTATTGCAAGAACTGCGAATATAGCAGGTAACTGGCAATGTAAGAGCTGTAAATAAGCTCCAGGTCAAGCACGTGCATAGATTTATATTTGATAAAATTTATAGATATGTGCTTAAACCTATAAGACACATTGTAATAAACATAAACAATTGTAGAATAATTTCATTTTTAAATAAACTACAGAATTACCGAAAAACCCAGAACAACAAACAAGCTCGCTCTTGAACTTAACCTTAATTACATTTACTATTGTTTTTTATTTAATTGCCAGCAGATTGTCATGTGCCGTCGAGTACTAAAAGAAAAGGAAGTCAGAATGGGTTATGTATATTGTCCAGTATGGTTTAGCGCATTTTATTGCCCTTCTACCATATGAGTGTGCATGCACAGGTAGATGAGAAATATTTGTCACGTTCTAACAGTAAAGAAATGAAAAGTTCTGTAATAGAAGTCTTGCAGCAATGTAATTTTCTTTTCAGTACTAACATTGCTACTTGACACATCCAGAATACAAGTCATTTTAGCTGGCTATGATTACAGATGTCAAAAGATGTGAGCTTGCTCTAGAGTCAGAACTCTTGGGTACTTGCAAGATCGTTTCATGGATGTTGTATCATCCACTCTCATCTCGTCTTAAAAAAAAAACGTAATTCAAATGGTTATTCAAATTCACTTGAATGTCTGCAGTTATTTGATACAAGGAGAATCTTACATTTGATAAGATAAAGGTAAAGGTAAAGCTATCCCTGTAACAGGTCTTGGAGGCATATAGGGTTGTGAGATGTCAAGGCTCCCACATTTTCTAGACAGTCAGCTCATGGGTGGCGGTGAGGTTGTCAGCCTTACGCACCAGCCACTCGTTAGCCCCAAGAAGGCTCCTAGTACTTGCTTTCCATTTCATTTCATTTTTATTTTATTACAACAGTAACATTCGAACAAGTCACATCATTAAGTACATCATTCTTTAAATCCTTTTGCCCAAATGCCTAAAGGATTAGAATTTGTCAGCAATATATAATCATGCTTTACATATTTAACCTATGATTAAAATATAACACACTATCAAACCAGATAAATAATCAAATTAGGTACAGTATGTAAATCAAAATGCAACCCAACCATATGAGTTCGTAAATAGAATTTTAAGAGTATTAACAATAAATCAAGAGTCCTACATACGACCATGTCAATCACCGAACACATTAAGATACCGCAAGCAACCATTTGTTATCTGTTTCCATTGCTGAATAGAGAATTTGCTATGCTTACTACTGTCCCTCTGAGAGGAACTCATACAATGTATAGAATGAATGATCTAGTAAAAATACTTTTAGCTCATCTTTAGATCCATCTGATTTTCTAACTCCAGAGGCAGTCTGTTATACAATTTAATACCCATATTGATAACACTCTTCTTAAAAGTTGATATTTTACAATTTGGCACATGAAAATCATCTTTCCTCCTAGTATTATATTTATATAAATCTGAATTTATTGTAGAGTATAAATTGCACAAAACCTCAAAGATATACAAAGAGGTAACAGTCAAAACCTGTAATTCTTTAAAAATAGGTCTGCATGATATTCTGCTATTTACACCTTTCATTAAGTGAAGTATCCTTTTTTGTATTTTCAGTACTTTGTTATGTTCGCTTTCTGCACCCGTAACTTACTAAGGACTGAAATTCGGCAAAGTATATGTTCCTAAGTATATATAAATGCACTACATCTTTCAAGGATTTAATAATGTAACATACTTTATTCAGTTTTAGACACAAGGACTGAATATGTGACCTCCATTTTAGATTATGTGTTATATTGATACCTAAAAATCTTAACTGTGATGTATAATTCATTTTTATATTTTTGAAAGTAAGCTTCTGTTAGAGACTGAGTCAACTGCAGGGCCATAGTGTGGCTGGAAGGATTAGGTCAACTGAAATATCCAGTGACCTCTTCAAGAATCTAACCCGTAACCTTCTGGCTTGTAGCACAGTGCCTCAACCAACTATGCTACTGCATGCCCTTATTTAATAACATACCTTCTTACAATCTCTACACTTATTCACTGAAGTTCTGTCTCCCACCAGGAAAGAATGTTCACTCAGTGAAAAGCCACTTGTCAACTATCTTTGCACTTTTTATTTTATTTCCATGTACCTCCCGGGTCCTTCCCATCCCTCCTATATTTATGGAACTTTGCTTCATTACATGGATGGCAGTGGGTAGCAGGCTTTGTTTGATCCAAATTTTCACCTTGGGATATATTTACAAGAAAGGGCCTCCAGGCCATGACAGATACCCCCCTTAACTGCCCAGAGGTAGTGTTCAAACTTGCTGTCTCCTTCAAAGAAGAGTCAATAGCCACTTTCACGTGGTGTAACCAACTGTAAGTTAAAAACGTTGCTTCTAGTGGGGTGTTTTTTGTATTTTCAAGAGGACCTTCATCAGTTCGTACATATGACATATATGCAGTGCAGGCTTTTATATTCTGTTTAATTTTGTTATGTTAAGCTTGTAAATTCACACTCGGTGCTTGTTATGAGGTAATATGCATCAGAGAGCTAAGAAATGGCCCAGTATGACTGACAGATGTGCAGAGTTACTTTGTCCTTTTTGTGTAAGAATATAGTATTTTATAAGTTTAGAGAATTGAATTTACTTCCATGTTACACATATGTCACTAGTGTCTACACGCAATGAGCAAGTAGTTATTGTAGCAATAGTAACCAGGTTCTGTGGTATTACTTAGAAGTGGACTTATCTGGATGAGCCCTAAAATTTTTCATGTTCACCATGTTTATATTTTAATCGGTAAAAAATTTAATTGAAAACAATGTATTTAGAGACATTCATACATCTACCTACCTACCTACCTACCTACCTACCACTTGGCACTACAGCCTTGGGTGAGCCTTGGCATCCTCTACAACCAGTCTCCACAACCAATGCATACTGCCATAGGAGTGGACCCATGCATGATGACCCAAGGCTGGTTGTTAGGTTTCTAAACAAAATTCTTTTTACAGAATGACATTAGCCTCATGCCCAACCCCTATCTAGAGGACCAGGGTTTCTCTCTTAGGGGGTCCATACACATACGAGTCTGGCTCGCAAGTCCGACTCGGCTCTGGTTCCAATGAGCCAGACTTGTCCGTGTGTGGGTCACCATGCTCATACATGTGGTGAAATTAAGCCAAGCCTGGCTCCTCGCTGAGCCAGACTCATACATGTATGGGCCACCTGAGTTTGGACTCTACCCTTTGACCTTTCCAGCACAGGTGACCCTACTGGTAGTTAAACTACCGCCTGCATAGTTCTCCAGGTCAGAGTCACGCAAGCCCAACCACCACAAGGTGGAGACACCTTTGAGGGGGGTCATACAGTAAGTTTCCTTGTACATGACCCAGCTAAAACAAGTTTTCAGTCACCATGTCTGTTTTAGAAATACATCACAAAAGACATTATATAATTATCCTATGTGGTGGTACTCAAAAGTTATGAGAATGGACCTGTAATGATATGACCTTCTCCCAGTTAGTTTGTGATTGAGGATACTTCTGCAAGTAGTGTGCTTCATACATGCCATTCTCTGTTGCATTAATTACACATGTAAAATTGTCATGCAAAGACATCTGTGTGTTTTGTGATTTTTTTAATTAACAAATTCAAAAGAACAAATGGTTTTCACCATATTTTATTTCAAGCTTAATGAAACAGCTTCTGAAACAATTTTACAGATTATGACTAGCCTTTGGAGAGGATGCTTCATCTTCAATTAAAATATGCAGATAGTTTTCAATACTGAGACATGCAAAATTTCCATGTAAGATGAAAAATACTGTAGAGCCATTGAAGTCTTACTTGACTGTGATGAGGTTGTGCAGCACAGATTCATCCCTCATAGGTAAAACTGACAGTCAGCAGTATTGTACAGGTTTTCCTTGGTGTCTTCAGTAAACTGTCTTTAAGAAATGTAGATTGGTTGGTTCATCATGATGGTGCACATGCTCACACTACCCTGTCTGTCCTATATAATTGTTCATAGCTAAAAACAAAATGGCCATCATTACCTGCCTCCAGCCTCTCCAGACATTGCACTCAGCAGTTTCTTCTGGTTTCCAAATATGTTATTGAAAATCAAAGGAAAGAGACTTGATGCTGTTTTGGAGATTCAGCAGAATTCACAGCACAAAATGAATGGTATAATGAAGAGGATTTGACTTGTTTCAAATGATAACAGAATTTCCAGGCTTCGCATATTAATTCCAAAACGTATTACTTTGGTGCAAACATTGGCACTTTGATTATAAATACATTCTCACAACTTTTGGTTCCCACCGTGTATATTGTATATTATTTATCCATTTTATATTTTTTAATTGACTAGTGAATTAAGTTGAGCATTGTTAAAAAGGAATAATAGTGAAAGGTTTAAATATATGTTTTCATGATGACCTCCAAGAAAATGGACTAACATTATCCATACTTTGCACTGAACTTTTCCTTTTGGGTAGCATCCTCTTAATTGCTCACATTTTGCAACAGACAAAGGTACAACATATAGGGTGTCCCAGGAGGAATGTGCTAGACTTCGGGAGGGTGTTCCTTATGTTAAAGTATGCCGATATAACCCAAAACACCTATGTCAAAAGTTGAACAGTTACAGAGATAATGGCCCGAGAAAAGTGTGGTCTTCTGGCGGGTCCATGCACTGTACCTGTCAGCTGACAAGTCTTATCTGTGTTTGTCCTTGAGTGTGGTGATTCACACTAGCTGTAAGCTTATGTGCTACCTTCAGGGTACATTGCGGCCGCGTTGTGAATCGTTGGTAAGTTAGTTGTGCGGAGTTTCTGAAATGCCTTTTGTGATTTCACACGTGGAATATTGTGATATGCATTTTGTGTATGGATTTTGCGGTGGCATTGCATGTGCTGCTGTTGAAGAATGCCAATGGATCGAAGGATTCCATCTCGAAGTGTATTTACGCAAATTCACCAGAGATTGCGTGATACTGGTTCTCTTCCGAGTGTTTCTGTGCGCTCTGAAAGGGAGGATGTACGAATGAGAAACACACTAGAGAACATTCTTGAGATGGTTCAGGGAAGTCCGCGTCTGTCCACTCGTAGAATGGTCTCTCACATCGGCATATCACGTATGCAGGTGTGGGGAACTTTACATGATGAAGAGTTGTATCCTTACCATGATCAGAGGGTACAATACTGGAACCAGGAGACCATGCTCAGCGTATGGATTTCTTCCACGGGATAAAAGCTAATCCTGAACTGTTAAGCATCATTTTATTCAGTGATGAGGCGTCTTTTACCCGGGATGGTGTAATAATTTATGAAATGTGCATACGTGGTCCCATAATAATCCACATGAGGTAATGGAAACAAAAGTCCAAAAGAGATTTTCTGTGAATGTATGGTGTGGTGTGCTTGGGAACAGGTTGATCGGACAATTTGTGTTTCACAGCAATTTAATAGTTATGTAGTCGGCTTATACCAGAATGTGCCATCAGCCATGTTACGTCAGCGCTTGCCGGTCATGTGGCATGTATAGTGCTTAGAAACCTAAGGACAACTATGACATGGCGAGCGAGGTTTTTGTAGTTCAATTTAATGGCTTCATGTCGCTCACAAGTTAGTTTTATGTTACGTACATTATTAACATTACAGAAACCACATATTCCTGCCAGTTTTAATATGTATTTGGTAATCAACAAGTGTGTAACACCTGTCAAAGTTTCACACTTCTCTGGCCGTTATCTCCGTAACCATTCAACTTTGGATATAGGTGTTTTGGGTTATATAGGCATACTTTAACATAAGGAATGCCCTCCCAAAGTCTGGCACATTCCTCCTGGGACACCCTGTATATAATGCATTAAAGAAAGAAGCAATGAAGTCTCAACATGTACATGTCAGATTTCATTGTTTCCTGTTCTATACAGTAGACAGGCCTGAAATATGTGTTTTTTTCTTTATAAGGTCAACATGGCAAAATCAAAATCAATCTCAAAGGCACCAAGAAAGCAGGGCTTCAATCGCTCAGGCCACAGCATGAACCCAGAGAGAAAGACGGAGGGCTTGAAAGGTGTTGCTGTTGTCCGAAGCAAATCTACTATCAAGAGACTGCAGATGTATAGGAATTTCAAACCAAAACGTAATAAAATTGGACAGATAATCAGTCCAGCTCCATTCCAAGGAAGGCTTCCATCAGGAACTGTTGCAAGAGTAGAACCTAATCAAAAATGGTTTGGAAATTCCAGGGTAATAACACAGAATGCACTCCAGAAGTTCCAGGAAGAGTTAGGTGCAGCTGTTAAGAACCCATATCAAGTTATAATGAAACCAACGAAATTACCAATAACTCTTCTGAATGAAACAGCCAAACATGCTAGAGTTCATCTATTGGATACTGAAAGTTTTGAAAGTGTTTTTGGTCCTAAGAAGATAAGAAAACGGCCTAATTTAAAAATAAGAAGTCTGGACCAGTTGTCTCAGCTTGCAACTGAATCATCTGAAGCTTATGACGGCGAAAAGGATAGGGACCTAGTTAGGGAAGATTTGGGTATAAAGGATGCACCAAGGGAATGGATAATGGCTGCAGGTCAGAGTAAACGAATTTGGAATGAATTGTACAAAGTAATTGATTCATCAGACGTAGTGCTACAAGTATTAGATGCTCGTGATCCACTTGGAACAAGGTCTCCACACATAGAGAAGTTCTTGCGCACAGAAAAACCACATAAACACCTAATTTTCATTTTGAACAAGGTCGACTTGGTGCCTACATGGGTCACCCAGAGATGGGTGGCTCTCCTGAGTTCAGAATACCCAACAGTTGCTTTTCATGCATCACTGACTCACCCATTTGGTAAAGGCTCATTAATTAATTTACTGCGGCAGTTTGCTAAGTTACATATCGATAAGAAGCAAATTAGTGTTGGGTTTATTGGTTATCCAAATGTGGGAAAGAGTTCTGTGATCAATACCTTACGATCTAAGAAAGTGTGCAAAGTTGCACCTATTGCAGGAGAAACTAAGGTTTGGCAATATATTACATTGATGCGTCGCATCTACTTGATTGATTGTCCTGGTGTCGTGTACCCCTCAGCAGAAACTGATGTTGAAAAAGTTCTGAAAGGGGTAGTAAGGATAGAGCTTGTAAATAATCCTGAAGACTACATTCCTACGGTTCTTGAGAGAGTAAAAAAGGAATACATGTTGAAGACATATAAAATAGATGATTGGAACTCTGCTCAAGAATTTCTGGAAAAGTTAGCTACAAGGATGGGGAAGCTATTGAAAGGCAGCGAACCTGATATTGTAACTGCTGCTCGGATTGTTCTTAATGACTGGCAGAGGGGCAGGCTACCATTTTATGTACCTCCCCTAGGTTTTGAAGTGCCTCTAAATGAGGAAACCAGTTCATCTTTCATCAAGGAACCTCAGCTAAGCCAAGCCACTGATGGTACAGAAAATAATACAGTGATAGAGGTCACTGCATTGCCAGAAAATATATATTTGAATGAAAACAGTAATATTAATAATGGAGAAGGAGTAAGTGCTGGAATTTCCAGTATTGAAAGAAATGTGCTTTTAGTTCAAGAAAACAAGAGTATTCCTGACAATATAGCCACAGTTACAGAACCTGAATTCAAAGTTTTTCAAGACTTCAGCAAAATTAGAGTTAATTTGCATTATACAGAAGATCATGATAAAAAGTTAAAGCAACAACAAATGAAATTTCTTGAACAAGAAAGTAATGTGAGTAAGAAAAATGATACAGAATTGGAAATAGTGGTTACAGGTGCAGGTGAACCCACTAATGATAAACCAGAAAACTTGGAAACCACAGTTACTAGCATGGATGAAGAATGTAATGTGTGTGAATCGTCTTCCAGCTCCAGTGATTCTGACATGGAAACAAACTCTCCAACATGCTCAAGTAGTGGAGCTTTTTATGTCACAGGCATTAAGAATGTGCATTCTAATAAAAGAAAACTGAAGTTTGATGCAGCATCTGGTGAAATGCCAGCTAGGTTGACAAGTAAGATACGGAGGAGGCTGGAACGAGAAATGAAACCGAAGAGAACTGGTAGTAATTTTTATGCAGTGGCCAACGTAAAGAACAGGAACAGAAATAAAAATAAATTTGTTTAAGTGTTTACACTTGATGACACAGAACCTCACATGGAATAAATTAATGTGGCAAATAATAAGATTTTGGACACACAGATTGGAGTGTTGTTATTTATCAGCAGTGCCCTTTCTTTCCCTACAAACACATTTACTTGTACTGTTGCCCTTTTACCAATGCCCAATGCAGCAGCAGCTGTGCCATTTTTAATTATTGACAATTTTGCCACTATTTATACCAGCTGATAAAAAGGCCCTGCTTTTCAGTATCTTGTCAGCTATTATCTGCCAGACCTAACAGTGCCGACAGAAAAAAATTAGTTAGTTCTCCCTTCCTCCCCCCTTAAAGACTCTTTGCAGCTGGCAGCTTGCTCCCAACTGCACATTGCCCCATCCTGGATTCCCAGGTCACTGTTAGTGTCATTTGAAAGACTGACACTTTTTATGTGGTCAGGTGAGTCATGAAATACTAAGGTTATGCGATAGTAAAGAGAGAAATTGCAAAGAATCCTGACAGCTCAATCTGTGTAGTGACAGTTACAGGCTGGGGTTTGAATCCCAGCAAGGGCAAGATTTGTCTCCTCCAGTGTCTAGATCAGATCGGGCCCCCTCAGCTTCCTGTTGAATGGGTACTGGATAAAATTTTCCTTACGGTAAATGTGCAGGGGTGTGAAGAAGTCCACTCACCTCCATCATGTGCTGAGGTCAAGAATGGAGATATACCTCCATCTCCCCATTAAGTCTTCATAGAATAGTGCTTAATTAAATACAGAGACAACTTTACCTTTTACCTCACTGCAGTCACTGGATACAGTCTGAGCCAAATGACATACGCACCTCAAAGACTTCTTAAGATTCTTAATATCACCTTCCGATAAATTATAAAAATCATTAAGAGAATGAAATTGTTCTTAATTAAGTTTGGCCATATTCTGGATCTACATGGTTCATCAAATACAGTGAAGCTATTTGGAACTTGCTACTGCATATTATGGAATTGATTTAATTCATGTAAAGAATCAATTTATTTCAAATTCAAGCAGATCCAGTTACAGGTTGGGAAATAAATTCACAAACCACTGGATATGGAATGAGTCATATATCAGAACAAATGTTCCAATTAGTCATTGGAACAAGTCAAGGTAAACATAATGTGAAATATACATAACACAATTGAATATAATTCCATTAAAATTTAAATGCTAAATGAAAAAACAGATTAACCATTCATACAATAAAATTCCTCCAGTTTATAAAAACAATGTGAAAACAAATATCTTAAGGAACTCCAATTTTAGATATCTGTATAAGCTCTTTTAATTCAGGTGGTAATTTATTAACAATTTTAATACCAGTATAGAAAACGCTATTTTGATACAATGTTAGGGAGGAGGTAGGATATACATTATTGCTACGTCTGGTCTGTACATTTTGCCTATCATAATTAGTAAGAAAGAAATTTCTATTCTTTAAAACAAAATTGAAAATATGTATTGAGATTTCTGTCTAAAGAGATCCCTACATGAGGACCTATGTCCATGTCCTGTCATTAAGCGAACAGCTCTTTCTGTAACATAAAAAGTTTTGTGCTCTTGGTATATTGTCCCCAGAATATAATACCATATGATAATGTAGTATGAAATAAAGAGTAATAAATCATTACCAGATAGGAAACAGAAATATGGTGTTTTGACTGATCTAATCATATAACAAACTCTGGTTAATTGTTTATAACATCAATATGTAAATTCCAGGATAATTTATTATCCATTATCAGACCAAGAAATTTCAGTAATTTCATTATTTTTCACAATTCTTCATTGGCTTCCATCGTAACACAACATAACGGTCACGGTTAACATTACCTTAGCTACATGTTTCAACTTTTAAAGCCATCATCAGGCAAAACACACGGTTACTATATGCACGCACTACTGAATTGCAATTTTGTTGTGACAGTAAAGCTGGATACTTGATAACTGTTACATTATAAAATATAAGATATAAAAATACAATGAATTATATAATTATTATAAAACGAAAGTTATGGAATAAAATATGGTTAAAAACGCTTCATGTGATATTGTATATCATGAAGTCAGTTGTTGCAATCTTGTTATATTCCTGCAGGCATAGAGTGGTATATTCAAGACTTGTATACCTATATAAAACTGCGTGGAGGCCCGTAGTGTAGGTGTAGTATTATTTGACATTAACTGTTTGGGCCATGCCTCATTTTACAATGTATTTTGTCCGCTCTCTTGGGAATACAGATTGCAACTCAATCTGTAGTATTGAAGTATTACCTTATGTTTGAGAACTGTGTTGGTTAAGTTCTGGCATTGCTTATGTTAAGATAACGTCTATCATATACCAATATTATTCCAAGTAAAATTAATATTTAAGAAACTCTGTATTTTATTTTGTGTACATGGAGGCACTATCAGCAATCTTGTATCTGTCCATAACAACTTTTCCTTTTCAATGACAATTCAAAAATTACTTTTATCGCTTTTTATATGAATTATTAGAGAACAGTCATCACAATTCACGTAACAGTCTTCTAACCCAATTTCTGAGTGTTCAATAATATACAGACCACCACATTTGCACAAATAACTGTAATTTGAACTATCTTCATGCCAATGTAGATCAGATATGGATAATGCTGCATATATAAGGGGCTGCTCACTGAGTTGCTGTTGTGTCAAATGGTGGTCATACAATTTTCTCTGTTCTGGATCTCGAAGAATTTTCCATGCCTTGTCAATCTTCAAGAAGGCTGCCGAAAGTGTGATACTCCTTTGTTTATCTGGGTGATTTATCAACACCAGTTCTTGATATTTCCTTTTTAACTCCTCGTATGTTGCATTCTTGTGGCATCCAAGAATCCCATAAAGGTTATCCATTACAGGATCACAGCTTGTAACCTGTAACTCTGAGGTTGTATGCAACACGATTAACAATGCTTGAAGACGAATGTGAAACATTAGTCCGCCTTTCTATCACCCTCATTTATATCTTCTGGGGCTGGTACAATCGGCCAGTAGTGGCTGCAGTACGAAGTGGACTCAAGTCTCACCACACTAATAATAAAAAATAATAATCTCTCGATTGATATATACAAAGGTTAAAACCAAGAGGATCAACTTTCAGTACACGACGAATTACATACTAATGCTGTTTATGTGATGGAATTATTACTTCAAAATTACTTATCAAATTAACAGACGTTACAATCGTTATCACCAAACATTCACCTACAAGGGAAACTCCTAAAATGCCGAACATGCCGAATGGTCAGTCTCTGTCAGTTTCACCAACATTGACATATTCTACACCCTTTGCATACAAACTCCAAAGACTTTAACGTGAAACAAGATGGCAGAAGCAGAAGGTAGTAAGCAGAGCAATAAACAAGTTAAAAAGCGGACAAGAAATCCTTCTGGTAGGTATATCTTTGCATAGAGCGCTACCATTCAACTGAGTTATAGATTAAAATATATATCGTATACTGTCGGGACTTATAATTGCGTGCATTTCAATCTCTCTTTTTCAATATGCCAACTTTCATTAAGGTTATGTTTATGTTTCAATTTTAGAATGGAAACGAGAAAAAAGAAAACGGCTGAGAGTGGCTGGAAAAGCATACGTGAACAGTAAAGGTGATATTGTGGATGAGAGAAAAATCGGTGAAGACTGCAGATGTAGAAGAAAGTGTTATGCACTGGTAACTGAAGAAGAAAGACATAAATTATTTGTTGGTTATTATTCCTTAAATAGCCATGATGAACAGAATGCTTATCTTTTTGGCCTAATTCGAAAAACTGAGATTGCTCGAAAGAGAAGTAAAGAAAGTGATCGCCGCACATGTAGCTATAAATATTTTGTTCGAACCCAAGGCAAGGAAATTCAAATTTGCAGACTTGCTTTTGCCCATATCCATGGCATTTCACCACATAAGATTAGGATTCTGTGTCAGAAGCAAGATCAAAATATTATGTTCCCACGTGATGGTAGAGGAAAGCATGACAACCGGCCACGTAAAGTTTCGACTGAAACATTGACTCAAATCAAGGATCACATTTACTCCATCATTAGGTCTGATAGGGTAAGTATATTTGCTGAATCTTATCATTTTCTGTTTAGTCTTTTTTGTACACTGTTTTTATATATATGATCTGCCTTTCAGGTGAGGGATTTTTTGAAGGAGGAAAAACATAATGGTCCAGATTTAAACATAACAAAGATGTGGAAAGATTACTTAGAACAGTATGATCCAAATTTTTATGAACTGCATCTTGGCAATGAAAAAAGTAATATTTCACATCCACCTAATGGCACTACAATGTCTCATGAAAGTGTTCCCCTGCCCGGTTTCTCTGGAATAGAAAGTCATCATGGTCTTGCACCTCAGCATGTTGGCCCCTACTCACATGCACCTGACCTAACACATTTTCAGATGCCAGGGATGAATCATAACATTGGTCTTATGGGTAAGCAACATTCACTAAGATAAAAAAAAAAAGTTGCATGGTTTTATCATATTTAAGACTGAAATTTATTTTGTCACATTTCCTTTCTAGGACATCAAAATGAATCTCGATATATGACCAGAGAACAAGAACCTCACACTAATCAAGAAGAAAAAAAACGCCACATACCAATTGTAAAACATTGGTTGTACAGTAGGGTATTTCATGAGGAATTCAAGTTTCATGATTTCCTGTCTTTAAAGAAGAAACTTTGGCATCTAAAAGATGCTGATAAAGTGGAACCAAGTCAGATAATAAATAAAGCAGAAAGAAAACAGAAGTCACCAAAGAAGATCAGTAGAGAGAAGGATTCTGGTATGAATGTTGTTGGTCTTCAGACATTGAATCCAGTGGGTACAGATCACATGTCTGCATCAGCTCATCACAATCAGTTGCAATCCCTTACTACGTCACAAGACATGTATATACTACCTGTGAACCTACAAGACCTTCAGTTACCACAGGCATCTGACATGATCTCTCAGCAACATCACGCTATGCAGCTCAATCTGCATACGTTTTCCACACAATCTAATGTTCTGAGCCCATTAATGAATGTCCAGGGACCAGGGGCACAAGGGCTTCAGTGTTCCAGTGTTGTTACCTTGCCAGGAGGAACTATGAGTTTAGCACAGAATTCCAGTGGCTACATGAATGTTAATACTGCTTCATTCTATCAGTGAGAAGCATGCATGGAGTATGAAGAATAAGAAATAGAAATGGGAACAGTATTGTTTTAGGTATGTGCTACCTTAATGCCATCAGATACATAATTCTAAATACCCACCTTATATGGGAGCTGGGATAGCGCAGTCAGTATAGTGACTGGCTATGGGCTGGACAACTGGGGTCTGAGTTTGAGTCCGGAGGGTCAAGAATTATCTCTTCTCCATGTTGTCTTGACCGGCTCCGGGGTCCACCAAAAATCCTATCCAATGGGTATTGGGGCTCTTTCTGCAGGGCATGAAGCTGACCACTCACCTCCAGCCAGTGCTGAGGTCAAGAAAATGTGGATCTATACATCCACTCCCCCACATGCCTTCATGGCATAGTGCTTAATTAGTTAAGCACAGGGACAACTGTACCTTTTACCTCTACCCACCTTATGTGTGTTAGTTACTTTCAGTGTTCTTCAGAGGATTCAATCTGTCGAAGCTTCTAGGAGTTTCACCTAAAATTGTTATTGTAAAATTATTGGTATTTGAAAAGAATTGTGTCTAGTTTCTTTTAACCATAAATCTATTAATATTATAAATTTTATAATCTTATTTTATTGCCATTCTGCCATCTGTTATTGAATTAAAATTATTCTATATTTTGTCCTTTTCGTAAAATATTAATTGCATTTTTATTTGTTTTATCTCATTGTCGCTGTCCTTATGGTTCCCTTTTACATTCTTTTTGATCTGTAACATAAATTGTTTCAGTTGTTATGCTTGTTGATAGTTGTTTTTACTGAGCATGTTGGCTCAAATGGCAGTGCTTCTGACTTGTATTTGGGAGGTGCTCAGTTGAAATTTCAGCCTGGACACTGACTGTCCTAACTGAGGTTTTTGTTGTTTTCGTCAGTCTCTTCAGGGAATGCCCATATAATACATTAAACTAGGCCATGACCTCTTCCTTTCACATCTCTTCCAGTTCATTATTCACTATACTCAGTCATTCAGTGCTGCATAGTATGAGTTGCTGGCAGTATCATCAAATAAACTACAAAAACTGGTAGTTGCTTTCATATGTATATTGCCATTTATTTTACTGCTGTCAGTTGTGGTTCAACTTGTATCTTCTTATTAACTCAGAGTACTGGTGACTAAACAGACTTCTACATCATTTTTATGTAGTGCCTGTTGTGGCTGTACATTTTCGTGGATTAAGCCATGTTTGATGGTTAGTCCACTTGAAGAGTATGTTGGGCTTCCCATCTTAACCATGGGTCTTTGGGAGGCCATGTTTGATGTTTTGGCCATTTGAAGAGTATGTTGGGCTTCCCATCTGAAACGTGGGTCTTCGGAATTCACCTGCCTTCCATCCGTAGAATGTGGTATTTCCACTGTGATCTTGATTTTGGAATTTTATTATTTAGATTAAAAATATCGCAAAACAAAAAATTAGAATATGCAAAACCATAATTTTGCCTGTGGTGCTGTATGGTGTGAAATTTGGTCTCTGACATTAAGGGAGGAATAGAGACTGAGGGTGTTTGAGAACAGGGTGTTGAGGAGAATATTTGGACTGAAGAGGAATGAAGTGACAGGAGGGTGGAGAAAACTGCACAATGAGCTTCATAACTTGTACTATTCTCCAAGTATAATTAGAATGATAAAGTTAAGGAGGATGAGGTGGGCAGTGCATGTAGCATGAATGGGGGAGAAAAGGAATGCATATAGAATATTGGTGGGAAAGCCAGAAGGAAAGAGACCACTGTGAACACCAAGCCATAGGTGGATGGACAATATTAAAATGGATCTTAGAGAGATAGGATGGGATGGTATGTATTGGACTGATCTGGCTCAGGATACGGACCAGTTGAGGGCTCTTATGAACGTGGTAATGAACCTTTGGGTTCCATAAAATGCTGGGGAATTCTTGAGTAGCTGCAGATTTGGCTTCTCCTCAAGAAGGGCTCAGCTCCATAAGTAAGTTAAGTAAGAAAGATTAAAAATGTTCAATTGTCCCATAATTATAGTGTTTCTTATTTGATTCTTCCTTATGTAGTCTGCTACTCTTCTAAAAAATTTGATTTCTGCTTCCCCTTTTCTTTGTTATAGTCTGAATTTCAGATCCATATGTAAGTACTGGTTCTGCTATAGACTTGTGAAATTTTGTGTATCTTTTCTTGTCTTGTTATTCAGTGTTCATTTTATTGTGTTTTTTTTTTAATTCGCTTAGTGGGGGGTGAAGTCCAACTGGGTCCACTCGGCACTGATTGGCCTATTTTAGCCTGTCCTGGGTGATTATGATGATGGAGAATTTGGTGGAATGAAAATTGGTGGGGGAAACCAAAGTACTTGGAGAAAACCTGCCTCAGCGCCACTTTGTCCACCACAAATCCCACTTGACCAGACCCGGGATCGAACCCAGTCCACCACGGTGGGAAGCCAGCGACTAACCGCTTGGGCAGTGGTGCAGCCATTTCATTGTGTTGCATATTTGGTTAAATCTGTTCATTTCTATTTCAAAATCTTTGTTGTTTGTTACTGTAATATACAGAGTAATTAAAGCTATTTACTAGTTCATTATGTAATTATCATTATTTTAGCTTTCACATTCTTCTTTCCTTTCATAGCCATTACACACTGTATGTCATTTTATTCTAGTGTAGTATTCTACTGCTTGGAAATCTGTAAGTCTCCTAAAATAGCTGAGAGTAGCTGAAATATGTAGGATGATATTTGTGACAAGTATTTGTATTTGATGTTATTAAGGCATTACATACTTCATATAATACAATGGCAATGGATACCTATAAGAAAATATTTTTTTTATTGACAAATTTCTATGATGGCATAAATTTTAATAGCAATAATTTTATTGTTTGTTATTTTTAAGATATTATTTCTGTGTCTGATTATTGAGAACTTTTATATATATATTTGTTGCATTTTTTTGGCACTCTTCTCATCATGTGTTGATTTCACACAAAATTTGCTCTGATGATCAGATATTAATATATTATTCATGCACCTTTTTTTTTAAACAAACATATGACCTAGCTGCAGAAATTTGGAATATTTTATATGACTGCAAATATTAATTATTCTGCATATTTAGAAGATTTATACTTTTATCAGATTAATTTTTGCAGTGTGATATTGCCAGTTTTCTTTCTGCACTTGTGTTTACATTGTTTTATATCTGATGTATGAGATACAATTTATAATGTTTCATTGAATGTGTTACCTGTGTGATGGTAGATTTCCAGACTTTATTAACATATTTTTCAGAACATCTCTTCATATACTGTCATTGAAATTTACCTAACCTACCATTGCTCTGAGCTCAGATCTGTGATGTTATTTCAAGTTTTGTTAAATGTACCAGATATTATTAAAGCACCTATATCTCTTTTGCAAGCACAACAGGTTACTTTCATTTCATCACATGCAGAGTACTGCTTAGTGTGATGTCAGCATATTTACAGATATTAAAAGCATGTGATATATATATATTAAATTAATGAGTGTACTTAAGAGAGTCATATCAGCAGTTAAGAGGGTAGAATTCGTTAGTGATAGGATATCATATTAATACTAAAATGTCGCTGGTGTGATATCATTATTATGAATGTTCACACCCCAACAGAAGATAAAATTGATGACATAAAGGATAGATTCTATGAAGAACTAGAACATGTGTTTGATAAATTCCTGGAGTACCCTAAGAAAATTTTGTTAGGAGATTTCAATGCCAAAGTAGGGAGGGAAGACATTTTCAAACCAACAATTGGGAATGAGAGTTTGCATGAAATTAGTAATGATAATGGAGTTAGAGTAGTAAATTTTGCCACATCAAAAAATCTTACTGTCAAAAGTACAATGTTCCCACATCGTAACATCCATAAATTTACTTGGACATCTCCTGATGGGAAGATACACAATCAAATAGACCATATTTTGATAGATAGGAGATGGCACTCAAGTATACTTGATGTCCAATCATTCAGGGCAGAAGATTGTGATACTGACCACTATCTTGTGGTGGCAAAGGTTAGGGAAAGACTGACAGTGAACAAATAAACAACACCCAGAGTTCATGTGGAGAGGTTCAATCTCAAGAAATTAAATGAGGTAGAGGATAAAGAGCAGTATCGTGTTGAAATCTCAAATAGGTTTGCGGCTTTTGAAAACTTGGATGCTGAGGTGGATGTTAATAAAACTTTGGAAACTATTAGAGAGAACATAAAAATGTCTGCGAAAGAAAGTCTAGGTTATTATGAACCGAAGAAGCATAAGCCATGGTTCGATGAAGGATGCTTAAAATTATTAGATCAAAGAAAGCAGGCCAAATTGCAGTGGTTACAGGATCCAAGTGAGTTAAATGGGGATCATCTGAACAATATANTAGTGATATTAGGCAGACAGAAATCAATACAGCTGAGCTGTAATACCTGATCCTCGCCCTTTTGAGGTTAAAAGTGCTATTGCAAAATTGAAACGGTATAAATCGCCAGGGAGTGATCAAATTCTGGCAGAACTTATTCAAGCAGGAGGCGCAATATTATGTTCTAAGATCCACAATCTAATTACTTCTATTTGACATAAGGAAAAGTTGCCTGATCAGTGGAAGGAGTCTATTATTGTACCAGTTCACAAGAAGGGTGATAAAACTGACTGTAGTAATTATCGGGGGATATCACTGCTGTCAACTTCATATAAAATTTTGTCCAATATTCTTCTTTCAAGGTTAAGTCCATATATAGATGAAATTACTGGGGATCATCAGTGTGGGTTTCGACTTAACAGATCAACTAAAGATCAGATCTTTTGCATTCGTCAGATATTGGAGAAAAGATGGGAGTACGATGAGACAGTACATCAGCTATTCATAGACTTCAAGAAAACCTACAATTCAGTTAGGAGGGAAGTATTGTACAATATTCTAATAGAGTTTGAGATACCCATGAAACTAGATAGGTTGATTAAAATGTGTTTAAACGAAACGTATAGTAAAGTCCGTGTAGGTAAACATTTGTCAGATAGATGTCCTATCCAGAATGAGCTAAAACAAGGAGATGCTTTATCGCCACTCCTTTTCAACTTTGCCTTAGGATATGCAATTAGGAAGGTCCAGGGAAACCAGATGGGACTGAAAATAAACGGGACACATCAGCTGTTGGCCTATGCCAATGATGTGAATCTACTGGGTGATAATGTAGATACAATAAAGAAAAACACAAACTTTAATTGACGCAAGTAGAGAGGTTGGTCTAGAAGTAAACACAG